GAGTTAAACAACTAGGTATTGTGATGTACGCTACCTATATAGACAGACATAAGTAGTACATAACACTAATCAGAAGTGGGAAGTTAGCAGAGGAATGCCGATTGGGGTTAAGTAATAAACATTAGGTGTGACTTAGATTTTAACCGGCTGGTCATGCCATTCACTTCCAAGTCATGTAGGCCAGCAATCATCACATCTGCATTCATGATCTACAACGCAGACAAAAATGCTGTTCGTAGAAATTAAATGTACTTATCCAGTTCAAAAAACTCGAGTAGACACATAAAAATGAAATCTGCAGATGAGCATATAGACGCAAACGTACAGCTATACAGACACCTTATAGTCATGTCTATAGATTGCAGAATGTGGGAAACGGTCGGGATAAATTGTGTCCAAAATCCAAGATGAATCGTGTAAGCGTGTATTAACATAAAGGCTCTTACAGAATCACGTATATTATAGGCGGTTGAATCAGAGCATTATGTCTAAACTGTACAGTTATTGGAGAAAATAGTTTCCGCAATGAGTTGAAACGTAATATTTTGTGAATATCTAGCTGCTTCCTTTCAGTCGATAATCAGTTATAGGTATTTGAAATGGTCAGTATCAATAGCTTACTCACATGTTATTTATTTTGAGGACTTATATACAGATTCAGCAAAAAAAGAAATCGCGTAACGGTTAAATGAAAAAAGCCAGGATAACATTGTTACCCATTTTCCCATGATAATTATTTATAAGACATGGAATTCTTCTGAGTATTGGATAGTGGTAGTAAACTTTATTAATATCTTCCGAAGCACGTGCAGTCGATCATAGTACTTATGTAAATGAATAACTAAAATTTTATCTTTATAGCGTCCTAAACGATCAATGCAAAGCTTTGTAGTGTTCGACAAGTAAGTGCAAGCTTCTGCAAATCAAAAGTTCACCCTATGTTACTGTCTGTCATCTATTTCTGTTGTTACAGTTTCACTTCCAGTGTGGAAAGGACATGAGGCTTGATGACCTGTGTTAGTCCTGGCAACACTGGTCTCTCAGTTGATCCAACTTTCTTTTGAAAGAGTCGACGGATGGAGCCTCAACCACGTGCTGAGGTAATGAGTTCCACTCCTTGATGATTCTACCGGAAAGTCGATAGTCAGCTGACGAGTAATTTGTTCTGAGCTTGTGAACCTTCTTGGAGTGTCTTCGGTAATTCTGTTTTGGGAGACAAGAAAAATGAGGGCATATCACGTGCAAATTTATCACTAAGCAATTTGAAAAATGTAATCAAGTCGCCTCTAGTTTTACGATGTGACAACGGGAAAAGGTTTAGCTTGACCAGTCGAGCATCATACGGAAACTTCGCTAGCCACCTGTATGCAGTACTCAAGTTTAGGACGTACGAACACTGTGTACAAAGTCAAAAATGTTTTAGCGTCGACATGACTAAAAGCCCTACGTATTGACCATAAGTCTCTAGAAACCTTTGACGGCTATTGCACGACAACGTGCAGTGGTCTTGAGGTCTTGCTACGATGACTCCTAAGTCATTATGTGTCTGGACTACAGGTAGATCAGTATTATTCATCGTATATGCATCTGTACCTTGATGACCGATATGCATCACAACACACTTGGAATTATTACCGGAAACTACCAGGTTTGAGACCATTCAGATAATTCCTTCAGGTCTGTAGCGTGGAGTCGAGTCGCGGTTGACTATGAACTCCACCACAAGAAGACTACGTGCCAGTTAACCGATAAAATCCCGCGTAAGCCAAATATCAGAAGGCAGTCGATGGCTGTAGTCGAGATGTATTTGTTGACGATCTCGTGGTATCGAAAGGATACCGAGATCGTGCCGAAGGAGTACAGGCGTGGTTACCGAGCATAACCGAACCCGTGCAAGGTCACATCAATGGGGTAGTAATGTGGCTGTCTTTAGCACAGTTAAACAAACGAGCACAATAAAACAATCACCGGTACAATTGGTTATAATAATGATTGTTTCCATTAAACCCATCGCGCTTTTTTGATATAAGTCGGTCACTACAGGTCATTTCGGAGTTCTAAGCTATCACCCTTACATCTTTTCGTTCTCCATATCTTGACATCGTCATCATATAGCAAGACCGATGATGATAGGAGACGAGGAAGGTCATTAACATGCAAGAGGAATAACACTGGCCCCCAAAGCTTTACCCTGGGGCACTCCACTAATCACAGTTTCCCAGTTAGATAACGTTGAGTTCACCCAAACTCTTTGTTGGCGCCCAACTAGGAAGTCTTTTATCCACACCAATTGATTGCCTCAAGTTCCGGGATTCCTCAGCTTATATAACAGCAGGCTGTGCGGAACTTTGTCGAAAGCTTTGCTGAAGTCAATATAGGCTACGTCTACAAGTAACTTCTGGTTCTTAATAGCGCACCAGCTTTCACGAGCGACTTATAAGTTAGTGAAAGAAGAATGACCCATTCTGAAACGGTGCTGCTTCTCCGAAAGGACCCAGTTTTCATCGAGGCATCTAAAGAGCTCCTTCCGAGTAATCTCTTTTAAGATTTTAACAACCACACTAGTTAGGCTAACTGGCCTGTAATTCTCAGGTTTATGTTCCGTACCTGTTTTGGAGACAGGACATATTATGGGGTTCTTCCAGTCTTTTGGTGAACGACCCTGCGTTACGGATAGATTAAAGCATATACTTAAAGGGTTGACAACGAAGTTAAATAATTCCTTCAGTAGCCTAGGGTGCAGTTCATCGAGCCCCGTGGATTTACCTATGTCAAGCTTATTTAGCAGACCAAAGACATCGAGTTCTTTAATGGTCACGCTATCCAGTGTATATGTAGGGAGATTTGTATGCGCTGACGGAAAGTGTGCTTCTATGGTGTATACATTGCTAAAGTAGTTCGAGAACACTTGAGCCTTACCAACGTCGTCCTCCACTAATGATGCGCCAGTACTGTCTCCCCATAGAGCAGGAATAAGTCCTCTACTTTTTCTCCTTTGGTTTATATATGAATACATGCGTTTGGGACATCCCATGGATTCTTTAACAATTTTTCTTCGCACAACTTTCTAGACTTACGGAGGGTCGAGGTACAGGTATTCCGAGCTTTTGGATGCTGCGATTTTGTCTCGTCAGTCCCCGGATGATTCAGAGTCCGGGTCGTACCTATTCGCTTCTTTCGCATGTTGCTCTGGGGCACATGTGACAACCGCATCAACTAGTTCTGCTCGAAGGAATTTTCGACGATTCAGTTCGCAGATTTTCCCAGTCTACCATTGGTGCATTTAAGTCCCCTAGGATTAGACATCGAACACTTTGTGACCAAGTATTGACACTGCTTAGCAGGACTTCATTTACCTCACAGCTTGGACTGCGATAGACCAAACCAATCAACCGCTCTTGTCCCTTATATTTCAATTTGCAGCTCACCAATTCACAAGTCCCACTCTTATGGGATACACTGTCGATAATGGAAAATGAGATAACATTCCTAATGAATAAAGCTACTCCCTCTCCTTTACGCTTTTGTATTCTCTTGGCCCTTAATAACGTAAAACCCTCGAAATCAAGTTCCATACTATCTAAAGACTGTGTCAGCCAGGTTTGTGTGACTGCGATTATGTCTGGCTTTGTAGAGTCAATCTGTACACCTAGTCCCGATCGCTTATTGAGTAAGCTTAGGGGATTAGTGTAACAGATCCGAAGTCCATTTAAGTGGCTTCGTGCTTCACCCAGAGTGTCTACGGCAGCCTTCTCTGTCGAAGCCTTTCGACCCGAAAATTTACAATTTTTATGTCCTTTTCGCCACGGTCTAACCTAGTTTGCAGCTCTTTTTCGGCTTCCCGTCTTTTTACACGGTCTGCCAACGGCAAGTCCTAACGGATAAAAACTCCTGAATCCTTTAATTTATGTCCATTCTGTAAAATTAAGTCGCGTTCACTCGAAGATTTGAATACTATCTTAAGCAGCCTCGATTTATTAGACTTCAAGTTCGCTAGACTACCTTGTCGGTACACCTTTAGCAAGGTGACTCCGGTGATATTTTGAGGCATGAGTTGATTAAGTAGCTGTTTTATCAGCACAATGTCATGCTCAAAACGAGTTTTTGGTTCAGAGCATTCACTCTCCTTGACTCTATGAAAAATAACTGACCTGTCACTGTGATCAGCCTCGATTTCTCGACTCCTTTTATGGGGGCGGGATCCCCTTTTATGTCGTTATGATGTTCCTTCATTACAACCTGTACCCATTCGACAAGGTTGCATGGAGAAGCAACCACAGTCGCGTCAAACGTACTGTGGGATTCCGGAAGGTTGTCGACGATTTGGGAAGTCAGGCCATGTTTCCCGCTAAAAACCGATCGAGCCTTGCGACTGCGGCTTCTAGGTGTTTTTTACTGGATACCACTTAGAAGACGGGGGACAGAAGAAACTTATTTTCTTGAGTTTTTGGGTAGACAGACCTCTTTGAAGACTGTGTTTCCTCCTTTGGTTGGTGTGAGTCAGCTGTTTTCGAATTCACATGAGTTTGCTTCACACCAGTTTGCGTGTCGACAGATGTGTCGATGTGTCCCGACCGCGCTTGCCAAAACACTTTTTTGCAGCATTTACCAATGAGATGGCCTCGGTGAGCAAGCTGTTTGCATCCGAACAGCACTGCTGACAAAGCCATACGCAACCTTTTTTACTGAACAGTTTGGAAGCCGCAGGCGTTGAATTCGTGCAAACTTCGTGGTACCAGCCCTTGCACTCATCGGACTGCATGAGATGTTTGAGAAATAAAATAAAGCTACCTCTTACTTCGACCTTCCTTTGTATTTTAAAACACAAAATAAAGGATTTATCATGTTGCCAGACTTCATTTGTTGTTATTCATTCACATTTACTGGAACTTTGTTTGTTTGTATGTTCAAATGAGTTGAACGCTCAAGGATTTCTACGAGTTTAAATATTTTTTGCATTTACACTTGTCGGATCTTCCTCATCGACTTCCCCACGTACCATGTCAGAAGGCTATATTTTGGCTGCTCTTGAATTCTTAATACAATATGGTGGAACTCAAAGCATTAAAGACTTGTGGGTACTAATGTGTAACAAATTCCACCAACTTTCTGATTTTAAACATGGTGTTGGGAAAAGTCATCATAGTTTCGAGAAATTTTTGTTATCTAACCCAACAATCTTTAATGTTGCTGATAATTTCGTTTGTCTTACTGATATTAGCAACCCTTTAGAAAATGAAAGGGACTACTCACATCAGTATAATAGTCGTTGCAATAATACTTCTCTTAAAAATTCAAAAAATATCCGAAGTAAATATACCATAGAGTCAGAGGCTTCAGCCGTTCGATATTTTCAAGAACAGTTGCTAAGAAAACCAGAACGATGGGTCCCAATAAGAAACTTGGCTGGACATTTATCACAGGCATCTCCTCATATTAGACTATGTGTGGGACCTCAGTCCGAATTCCTTAATTTTTTGACGCGGCACTCACTCATCTTTGAAATTCAGGGTGATCTGGTTGGATTAAGGAACCGAACCAAAATAGTTTCCTGCACACCTCAACAATCTGTTAATAAAAAGAAAGGAGTACGGCCACTGTCATCACATTTTCCTGATGATCTACACCGGATATCTGTTCCCTGTTCTCGTATAGACGATAATTTCTTCAGTCTTCACCGTACTGGCCACGAGGAACCGGCACCTAAATCGCAAAGTGAAGATAATATTATTGTGTGTTTAGACGACTGCAAAGCTATATTTTGGGTAATGTACGTCATAAAACATAACCTAAAGGATGAAATTATGATTTCAAGATTACTTGCAGAGCTTTCAAATGCCCCTGATTTGGTGAGGAATTGTATTGGTTGGACTCAGATTGAGCTTTCGGAGTTTCTCAAAAAATATAACAGGATATTTACTGTTGATGAGGTTACCGGTGTCGTCGCAGTACACTACACAAACAAACTTAATATTTTTGTTGCCTCAAGGCATATAAATGATTCTTCTAGTGGCCTAATAGTTTCTCAAAAGGGTTGCATCTTTTGTGTAAACAGGCTATGGGGAATAATTGATCTCGGATTTCACGAACATGTATTCTTCGACAGATCTCTATTTAGGAATGTTACAGACCTTACTAAGCATTTCAAGGTAAGTATTTGCGTATCCTCATATGTTAATTTTTCTTCATTCTATGCGAGTTAAATTGCTAAATTAATTAGGCCAAAATCTTAAGGAGCCGAAATACAACCTGATAGTGAATGATATTTAAGAATGTAACAAAAGTTGAATGAGTATATCTTGATGATTACGATTTTGAGCATTGTCTGGCTAGAGTTTTCAATATCTCACAAACCTTTTTTGGAAAGCATACTTATCATGTTGGATAGTATCTGATAAATAATTAAACAAACAGCTTATGTTAAATCTAGGATGTTTTGCTAAGTTTTAATCATTTTTCAAATGTTTAATCTGAGGAAATCATTAGTTAAGAAATTATCTAATCACTTAATTTTACTGTTGTCATTTCTGCAGTGCTATTTTAGGGAAGTATATTTATGTTTCTACTGATTGATTCGCCAGTACGTTTTCAATTATATGGTTTGAAAAACAATGATTTTATACTATTCCGATCAGTTTTGTCACAAGCCCACATCGTAAAGCTCAAGTTTCTGTTCCCATCACAAAGTTATGAGAGCTAATGAGTAGACTAAGTTCATATCTACGAGACGTTGTTTGTTTAGTGTACATATCAAATAATCGAAAATGGTTTTGTATAATACCATGTAGAAACTGACGTTTCCTAAACGTAATTCTACACGCTCAAAAATAAAATCCTTGATGTTTATATATGCCCGTGAGTTATGCAAAACATACACTACCGTTAAAGTGAGTGAGAAAATGGTGGGAAATGACACAAGCAGTACATAGGCTTAAAGTTAAGTAGATCTTAGACACAGACTTTGGACAAGAATCATTACATTCCTCGATTATTGTAAAGATTAATTTAAAAACCCACATTTGGTTCTCAAATTCGATCCAAAAGTGCTAGTTCTGCTTCTGAGTTTAATCTTATACATGTGTAGAAATTTGATGACCATAGAAAGTTACTGCATTCGCAAAAATGTGAAGGATAAGTCATTCTGGTTATTTATGCTTGCTGACTGAAATCATGCAAATAAACACAATTCGATCACAGAATACTGGCTAGTGGATACTACTGTTTGATCTTACTGAGCAGTGAGAGCTTCAGTACATGGTCTGAAATATCGCCACAAAAAACAGAGATAACATATTGTAAAATCTATCCGTTATTGCTTTTTTCAAGTGGGAAAGATGGAGTTTGTGAGAAAGAGCAAACGAGAAGAGCATCAGAAAGTGGGTTGATGTTGAACAGGATAAACTCGAGTACTTATGAAAGTATGAATGTCACTGATATTTGATGTTTCTATGTCCCTCAAGTACTTCATGTTGTAGAACTGAAAGGTGAATGCGAACACAGAACTCAGGAACAATTACTTTCGGCCTGCGGGTGGTTTATTTTTATTCCATAGTATTGGTTATGTACTTTTTAAATTGTATTTTCGGTATTGAAAATGTATGCTTCAAGGAGGTCCTCTGTTTTTATGATTCACGTTGCATAAACGTTTCACTCATCTATCAAATTCTATAATTCGAAATGCTGAGGGAATAACCTTAGTGACACCAAATTGATATGCATTCGGAAGTAAAAGTTCAGTATCAGATTCAAAAGCTAGAGTTTTTGATCTCACTACTCTCCAGTCAACTTAACTGGAGCTGTTATCTTAAGAAATAAATACTTCAAATATATAGTTAGACCAAATCTCTATGATAATTAAATCTTAGAGCTGTCCATTTGTTTATATTAAATTTGCTTTCTTTCTAAACTAGCAACAAGTCTGTGTAAATCTCTGTACCAAAGTTCCTTCTAACTTTCAATACTGTAATAATTTGGAAAAATCACAACTAAGTGTTCTGTAACAACTATTTACTTGTCGTTTAGCATGTAATCCATTAGTAATAACAATAATTGTTAGTTACTTATAAATTTCATAAAGTAGTATAGATTGCAAAACATTTATGCGCTCTTAACAGCTTTTTCATACATAGTTGCTCGTTGAAATATCAAGCCATCAGTTTTGAGAATGTGTTAGTAAGGATACAAAAGTTTGATTAAAAAGCAGTCCACACCATATTTTACTGGTTTGTGAAGTATCGTCGAATAAAATGAGGTGGTCTTTCTAAACTCGCCCCTATTTTTTAGTGAGGACTGCTGTTCTTGAAACATTTATCTCTTGTTTTTTGTTAAACATATTGTTTCAAGTGCACGTTATGTAAAATCTCTTATCCATTTTTATTAGCATATGGGCTTTAAATTAAATTATCGTCACCTTTTTCACATCACTGGTTGCGATTTGTAGTGTTTTTACATCAGTCATTAGGAATAAAATGAATAATTTTATGTACTTCATACTGATGATTATAATCTGCTTGAATGTTGTAACTCCCATTTAATAACATTATGATCTTGTACGCTTTACTGATATTTCTTGTACATGGTTATTGTGACAATTTTCCACTATTTCATGTTCAGTCTAGTTTAAAGACATTTGTTGAAATTGTTTAACCCAAATTTAATACATTTTTCCCTGCTCACTACCTAGATCTATTATGTGGATCGAACATAGCAGTTGGTCAAGAACTAACTTTCAGTCAATGCCTAATACTTTATCATAGGTTTAGTTGTTATCACGAGTTAGTTATTTATATTACAGATCCATAATTATCACACCGTAACACATTTTTGATAAGTTATTTTTGCTTCCTCAGAAAATAAATATTATTATACAGTACACTGATATTATTCAGGTATTCAACTATACGCCATTCGATGTCTGCTTATCCGAAGAAGTTAGGGTTATAAGAGAGTGATTTATTACTTCCAGTTGTCACACTTTGAAAAATTACAAGCGTATAATAGGATAAATCTTAGATGTATAACCGGCAGTCTTGTTTGTAACATGCACAAAAGATAACTTTGTAGATGGACCGGTTTCTTATCATGCATAAAAGCGTTTATGAAGAGGCAAGAGTATCAGTCTTCAAAAAAGCAACCTGTCAACTGAAATATATCAAAGGAGTAGACAAGCAGATACCTAAACTTGATTTTCCAGACGACTGTAACCGGTGTGTTTTCCTTTTTTTCCTCTATTAGTTTCAACGGGACTGAACTAGAAGTTTTATCATTAAAACCTAAATTTTGTGATAGACTAAGACCTGTGGATCAACTAAAAACTGATGTTCATTTTGAGAACCTACTTACCTGGACAAAGGAATTGATGCTCTCGGCAGAGGTCGAATATGAAGGGTTCAAGGCTACACTGGTTGGTCGGTGTAATCAATTTAAAAATAACAAGCGTCACACAAAGAGTATGTTGACTGATGAACATCGAGAAGCTATCCGGTAAACAAAATCAAACAAGCACATTTTTGTCACTAAATCAGACAAAGAACCGGGCACTGTCATTCTAAAAAGGTCGATTGGATAGATAAGCTGAATACCTGTTGAGTGACTGAAATAAATTTCAAAAGCTTGAGTCATATGAAGGCCTCAATGAAAAACCGAACTTCAAATAACTACGGCAACAGAACTTTTGAAACATCTCTGAGTATACTTATAATGAGGTCAAGCCATACCCCTTGACTCTATGACATACCAAAGGTTTATAAACCAGAGGTCCCTTAACGTTTAACTCCATACATGTTAAACTCACCACACTATTCAACAACAAAATGTTTGGTGAGATTGTTGGAACCACTACACCAAGATTTGGTTAAGTACAACGTGAATGACATATTTGAATTCATGGATACAGTAAAATGTATGAATATAAGAGACAAAACCATGTTACCACTAAACATAAATTTTTGTTCACTAACATTCCTCTGACAGAAACCATCGGTTACACATGTTAACGACTGCTAGAAGTGAAAATAGAGACACTGATCCCCATAAATAAAATGAAGGAGCTTCCCTTGGAATGCACTGTGACTGTACAATTTATGTCCAACAATGAATTTTACAGACAAACAGATGGAACAGAAATGAGATAACCCCTATGCTCGATCCTCGCTAATATTTTTCTAGCCAAACTGGTAAATAGACCGTTGAAAGACATCCTAAATAAACCAAATTATTACTGTAGATACATAGATGACACACTAATCGTGTGTGACGGTAGTATCGACATACAAGAACTGTTGAACAGTTTCAATAACGTCCACCCATCTACTAAATTCAACAGCAAAGAGGAGAATGAAAATAGCATAGCTTTCCCTGATGTCCTACTTTCTAGAAGGATAGATGGTCCCATAAAAAGAAGTATCTCTAGAAAAAATACTTGGACCGGTCATTATACCCATTTCTATAGCATTCCACCTCTTTAATACAAAATAAATTTCGTGGATGCGCATTTCTGAAGAGTCCCACACTAGGATGAAACGGCTGTCTAATGCGTCAAGGTTTCCAATGGTGGTCTAGCTTAGATCAACTCGTAAATTCAACATATAACATTGCCAAACTAATTACCACATGCCTTATTTTGGCCTTTGTTAAATATCACAATAGTTATGGACTTATAACTATAGAGCCTGATGATGAAGTTATTGGAAAAATTATTCGCTCAAATATTCTTTGTTTCTAAAGCGTATCGTAAAAAACCTATAATAAGTTTTATTTTGTGTCTCACTGCTGTAGGACTGATTTTGTCTAGCAAAGGTCCTTAACCATCCTTTCTATCTCTTTAAAGTGTAACTTCTTCGGAGTTCGATATCTTTTCTTGTTCTAACGATCTACACTTCTCGATGAATCGTTTGGTATATCGTGTTGAACATTTCTTAACTTAATAAGAATCAATGCACTTGGCTTTAATTCACACCTTCTTGTAAGTTACCTGAATACATTATATGGCTGTCTAAAATGAACTAGGTAATACGATAGTTCAGACGTTACAACCAGTAACTGAGTGTTATCGTGGTGTGAGCTACTTATATCCACATAAGTAGAATATAACGACCGTCAAGGACTAGAATGTATTACAGTAAAGATCGAGAAGGAAAGAACGGGGACGGGAAACAATTGGTATGGAAATGCAAGAACAATCGAATCTGAGACGATGGACTGATAATTGCAAAAGAAACAGTCAAGTTTGAGACAATCGATTGATATTTTGCAAATTAAGTATTAACTTTATAGTTCTCAGATTTTAGTGAGGTGTTCTGTAACTTTGTCTTCGCTCGTGTTCTTGTTTACTACATTATGACCTCAGATGAAACAGTGGTTTACTCTTCATAGCTTACCATATAAAAAAGTACATAATAAACGAAACTTCATTAGAAGACATCGGAGTTTTGAGTATGTAAAACGATTGGATCAGTGTTCCCGTTAATAATATATTTAGATTCTGTCTTAAAATGTTCAGTATCATCTTTCTCTATTCAGGAATATGTAATAAAAGTATAATAATTTCAATAATAAATGGATTATTGTTTGGTAAGATATCTTACTTTATAGGATTCCTAATTTAAAACTGAGATACCGTTTGATACTTAATGAAAAGTCAAACTATGATTCAGTGATTTTAAACGTTCAGTCAATAATTCTAAATAGCACCTAATACTCACTGCTTTGCGAATTTTTAATACGTATATTATAAAACCCAACAGAATGTTGATTCTTCCAGTGTTACATTTTTGAATTAGTAGTTTCCAGCTTCATAATAATAAATAAATCCGCTTTGTGGCTCAAAAACCAAATAATAACAAGTGAACTCTCTTTTATTCGAAGTGAACACACATGTTACTTAATATACTGTGTAAGCATTAAGTAGTCATCAAAACGCAACAGCACCTTAATGAACGCCACAGTTGACTTTGCACCATTGTGTTCCAACCATTTCCGAAACCTTTTCCATTGACTTGGGTTTAATACTATCAAAAAGGTGCTTGTGACTGAAAATTGAATATATATACTCCTGTTTGTTCACTGAGTTGTGTTAGTGCCAATCAATATACATGGATGAAAAAACATTAGGTAATACAAAACTATTCCTTCTACAGTTAGATTGTCTGTCAACTCAGATGAAAATTATTAAATATCTTGGTTGTAATCTGTCTTAACAAAAGTTTAATAATGATAGTATGCTTTAAAACTAATTACAGCTAGACGTATGCATCTTGTAAATAAATAAGACGTTTTATTTGAAAAATAACCCCAGGAAACATGTCGATTGATAGGTATGATCAAATTTGATAAAGATAGAGATATTACTTATAAGGGTCAGATATATGATTTTAAATTGTTTAAATTAATGTAGTTCAAAAGTTGTTGTGAGAGTAAATTTGTCATATAGATCCATTCGGGACCATTAGTTCTTTGTGCGAAGACTAGGAGGCTATGACGTTTACAATCTAGAAGTTGTTGAGATATACAGACCTGCTCTGAGAAGGATAAACGGTGGGAATAATTGTATCGCAATCTCATCACTCTATGATAAAACCTTACTGTTTATGGTTAAGTCTAGGTTGAGAAAAGAATAACCAAGGCAAATGCACTCATATCTAACAGTGCTAAGTTTCAATCTTACACACTAACTTATTTACTATGAATATTTCTCCATATGCAGTATCTGTATCACTATCGTATTTTTGTTATAAGAGTATTTCTCTTCTTTAGTTTACAACGTTTGAACTATAAAGCCACTACGTCAAAATAAATATAAAAAATAGAGTTCATTAATGACTTGATCAAATAAATAATAATTGACAGTAATAATTATGTTATATCACATTTTATGTTTTAATTATTACCAACTATCATTGTTTCGTCTTATTTTATTTTCATTTCTAGATTAAAGAAGTAGTTTATTTCAATGCTATTTTAGCACCTAAAGATTCTCGTGCAAAATGGCGTGCTACATGTGTTTGGAAAGAAACTGATCAAATAATTAATCAGTTAGCTAAAGTCAATTATTCTGATAATAATACTACTAATAATAATAACAGTAATTTACAACATTCTGATAATCAATCCCATCATCATCAACAACAACTTAATGATGATCCTGATTCCGGTTTAGATAATTCTGATGAAATAATAGATCCAAAAAAATAAATTGAACGATGATCCAATAAATAAAAGAGATCAGTCACTCAAATCTTTATTTGATGAAGATAATATGTCAGTAGAGTATGAATTTATTACTAAACAGTTTGCTAATGTACGTATGGCTGATGTTTGGGAGATTGAACAGTTTACAAGTCAGTTAAAATGTACAAATTCAGATGTGCTCAATAGTAATACTAATAGTACTGTTGTGAATCATAGCAACAATAATAATAATAATCGGTATAATCATACTAAAGATCATCATCGTCTATCATTATTATCACAATATAATCCAATTGATCATGAACGGAGTTTATCAATTAGTAATGAATCACTGTCTGATCTTAATACATTATCTGAAATACCTAGTATTATGTCTGGTATACAACTGGAACCACCATCGCCAACAGCATCGTTAAATTACCCTGAACATGAAACTGATCATGGTGACAGTTCAAAACAATTATATAAACTGCCTACTCATAAACCAGGTTGTCCATGTCAGTGTCTATTATCATCCACACTAATTCAAGAGAAAAAATCCATGAATAGTGTAACTACACAAACATTGTTTACAGGTGAAGTTAAAGGAAAATTTTTTATCATGAAACACAAGATGGTCATAATCATCATTCTTGAATTCCATTGTTATTAACGTTGTAGCGGTGTGTTTCTTTAAAATCGTTTTTAACCATAATTTCTCCCTATTGACTCCTTTTTTTCGAATCCATTTTAGATAATCATGTAGTAACACACAGTTTATTTCATATACTGAATTAGTCATTAGTTTGTTATGAATTTGTGTATTCTAGATTTGCTCCGATAAGACGTTTCCCAAGTCTTATCTATCTTGAATTACATTTTTTTTCCTTTTTTTTTCTCACTGACAATAAAAACACTATCGTATGACTATCTACATGGATAGTCTTAATACTGTCATTAAAATAGAACAGGATGGGTAAAGTACTCAGCCATCATTATCATTCATAGTTACTTTTATCTACCTGAGTAAAATATTCCAAAAACAAAAAAGATAACAATAACCACTAATCAACTTTGTCAGTTTTGCATATATATAAAAAAAGAACGAAAAATCGACTGATTTTTCATTGATATTGTTGTCAGTTTACATGTTGATGTTCTTAGTCTGTAGTTATTTCTATTCCTGATTTTGCTCATAACTCTAGTAATAGTAGTAGTACTAGTTGTTGTTGTTGTAACTTTTCTCACTCTTTTTACTTTTTTTTCTTTCTTTTTTAAATATTGAAAAAATATAAGCATTTCAATCAAGAATAAATTGAATAATTTTTTTTCTGGTTAGCGTATTTTTAGCGAGTTAATTTTCTATGGGATGGGGTCACTAACCCCCCCCAAAAAAAAAACTCAACCCTTCTCCTTTATCCGGACTTTGGACCGGTAGTAGCCGAAATGGGGCTGTAGGTGGAGTTATTTCAATTTCGAACATTTATTAATACATGTATACCTATTGTTTTAATTCATTATTTCTTTCATATGATTATATTTTGTTTATTTACTTATTTTAAAATGGAATTTCCAATCTTTTAAACGGTTAAATAAAAGAATAAACTCTGGGATATTTAATACTTCTTATGATATATAACTATAATATCATATTTACTCATCTTTCATACTGTTAAACCATCTTATAAACTTACTTCCTTACATTACTTACATTGATAAATGACATTATATATGAATGAAATGAATAGGTTACTTGATTAGTTCATAAAACGTCAATTCTTCTATATAGATTCAATCATTTATCTACATAGAATATTGTAACATAAATGAATGAGCATGATTTTTTTCTTTTTCAACAAAATTCATATTTCATTATTATTCATCGATTGTAATGAAACGTTTTCTCTGTTCTTTTTTCTCTCCACGTTTTTTCTTTTCTGTTTTTAATGGCTGTGAATATATATATATATATATATATATATAGATATTTTACTAAAGAATATTTATACATAAGTTACCATAATTTACCATTGTATTTGTTAATTCTCTTGACATTTTGCTTAGATTACAATCTACAGAATGATTACAATGATGTTGTTACTTTCATAGATGAAATTTCATCAAAAAATGAATAAATTACGTTGGAATATAACTTCCATTAGATATTGATAAATAATCAAAGTCATTGGAAGGGTAGTTATGTGAAATGAATTGATTAAAATATAATTTATTTTGTATAAGAATATGTTCTACTTTATTACAATTTATTTATTTGTCTGTTTAGTAACTACAGAAACAATCATATTCCTCTTAAAATATTACTGATTGATCAGAAGCGGTTTGGTGGAGATTTTAGTAAGTTCAATATTTGAAATCATGAGTCAATTAAAGCTAGAACACAATGGGAAGCCTGGAAGCACTGAATGGCCGTTTCGTTCTAGTATGGGACTCCTCAACAGTGTTCACCCATGATCCCGATCCCCGCGAGATTCGAACTCAGGATCTATCAGTCTTGCGCGCGAGCGCCTAACCATTAGACCACTGAGCTGGCCGGCATCCAACGATGTTAATGTCTAACTGATAGGTTCTTGGCTCGAATCTCGCGAGGGCGGGATCGTGAATGCGCACTGCTGAGGAATCCCATACTAGGATGAAACGGCCGTCCAGTGCTTCCAGGTTTCTCATGGTGTTCAATTGACTTCAATTGACTCATGATCTCAACTATTGAAATCTTTGATTTATATTAATAAATTTCGCTTATCTTCATTTTTAAAGTTCAAAGCATTTTTAAGACATCCTTAAATGTTATGCTCTTTGGATACTTTATGATTACACATTCTGCTAAAATAGTGTGCATGGTTAATTATTGTAAAAATTGGTTGATCACCGATCGTTGATTGAGAAGCATAAGGAAATTTACAAGTTCAGTGTTGTCGTCGACATAACAGGCCAATTTTTGTCTTAACTTTGGGTCATTCTTGCAATGTCTATGGTTCAGACTTGCACATATGATCCTGTGGAAAATATCTATTTCTCCTATCGTTTATCTTTCGAAACACTTACTAACACTTCGTGAATTTTCTGAAAGTTTTTACTGACTTTCACATAAGCTCTTGATGAGAACGTAAGCGATCAGACAGATGCCAACTTAGCCATCGTAATGTTAAATGTTTCCTGTGAGCCCTGAAAGTCCTGGGTTCAACTTAAGGAATCCCATAATAGAATGACACACCCACCCTTTACTTCCTAATTCTCACTAGTTTTCTAACTACGGTCATTGTTTGATATGAACTACAAAAACCATCGTTTGCTTGTTCGTTGAATAGACATTGTATTTACTTTCTACAAATCACTAACTCAATCAATCAGGTGGTTTGGGAATTTTTCCAAACAAATGTTAGGCGATAATCACGAGTCCAGAATAAAATTGAAAAACGATTAAAAATTCAATAGGATTAGTTACCACATATTTATCATATGATGCTACATAAAGTCGAATATTTGTAATCTTTTTAAGAATAAACTTAGATTTATCGGTTATTGACACCATTAGACAAAAACTGTACCTATAATATATCAAAAGAAATTTTATTCATGAAAATCCATTTCCAGTTATTTACATTGACGGTTAGAAATAACAATATTGAATTAACCTATAATGTATTTATTACTGAATAGTTCACTTAATAGTGAGTTTTGTCGACAAATATATAGTGTAGCAAGATTTTACCAGTAACAATTATTCTAGATGACTTATTCAAAGAAGATAATCTCACTATCTGACAACTAGAACAAATCAACTTTTGGATTTTAAATCGTATAACTAAATATAATGAATTCAAAAGTCACAAGGCAGTGTCACACTATGCAGTCTGATGTATTTGTCATATTCAAAATACAATTGTCATGATAGCAAGATGGTAAATAATCAGCAAAAGAGTAGCAATAAAATACTTAAAATTTGGATAGTGAATGAGTGGATCTATCTGAACTGTTGTTAATGACTTTAAGGAATATTTTGTAGACTTCTGAAATACTGGTTCCTTTCTCAAGAATCTCATCTAGCAAATCAAGTTTTTGAGGTAGTCAACAGAAAACCCTGCTCGACGTAGATTTCGTGCGAGGCATACTTGCAATCTTGAGGGCGATGAAGCTCTCTGAGGGATTCTAATCTGCATCAGCCAGTGTTATAGTCTGTAATGTTACCAATGAACTGTTTAGGTCTTGATTGATCTCCTGTAGGACTGAGGTACTTGCCATTGGTTAATCACTAGATAGTGAACAATGTCACGTTCACCTAATCCTTTAGTGTTGATCGAATTTCAACGACCAACCGTTCCTTCAAGATTACGGGTACAGTTTCTTGACGATTGCTTACCAGCAGAAAGCCTGGTTTTAGAGTTTCACTCCAACTACGCATCATGTAAGCCGGTCATTGTAAGTGTAGTTTGATGGCTAATAAATTAAGGCTGATAACTATAATATACAAACTAAAATGTCAGTCAATAATTCCTGGTTCCCTTTATTTTGTGGTTATAATCACGTTTATTGGAAGACTTTTTACGCAAGTGAGTCTTTCATTCACTAAACAAAACTATTTCTCCTTTTAGTCACTGTCATAACTACACTTAAATTCTTTCGCTGAGATTCTACACTTAAATTTGATTAGAATTTTGTAAAAGTTTAGGATTGCACATCAGTAGAATCATAGTAGATCTTATTTCACAAACTTTTATCCCAATAGCTAACTGTACTTAATTTGAAGTGAAATCAATAAACGAATTTATTAAAAAATTAATTACTAGCCACCTCTCATTGCTTTCATAACAACCAATATACCTTACATTGTCTTAAAATTAACACAAATAGGAATCTGCATCATTGAGTTAAATTTTCGGCTTTCCCGGAGTTCGTACTTCAGCCACATGAACTTATGAATAGAGATATTATCACTAATCTGTTTGGAGAAATACACTTAATGGATGCTCTTCAGTGACGTCTGAAAAAGATCCTGAGAAAATAAAGCCAAATTCTAGTGAATCAGAATATGGTGATATAAATGAATAGTTTATTACAACAAACCCAAAAATGTTAGGGCTAAGAGTTTAAGTTAAAATTCAGTATTAGGACTGAGAGTTAGTGTTCGGAAATAATGTTCGGATTAGGAATAGCGTGGAAGACTTCTCGTACCATCGTAATAAACAGTTATACAGTCAATCCTTTAGTTCTAAATATCAAGAACATTTTTATTCCCCTTCAAAAATCCATTAATAATAATAATAACAATTGTATATATATACATATATTCTGAAAACAATAATTACAGAATTCATGCCAGTTTACAATCATAATCAGCTTGATATAGATAGTAGAGAACAGATATGCGATATTAAATTGTTTTAAGTTTACTAGCTCAAAAATTGTTTATGTAGTACATTCTCCACAAGTATTACACCGACAAAAGGCACCAGACGGGAACTTTTAATTCTTTCTAAATGGACATCCTGTTGATGTACGGACGGTGTATTTAAGGTCATTTGCTGAGCTATAACAAATCAATTATACTCAACTACAACTAGAGAAAATAAAACGGAAGCAGAGATCACAGAACAACAAAAGTAATAAATACTACTAATAGGTCAGTCAGGTTTATCATAATATGTATGTCAAGTT